TTATCTTTTTACAAAACAACAGCTGAACATGAGAGGTTTTTGGACCAATTTTGTGCTCCATTCTTTAAGCACCGGCACCGTTTCAAAAGTACCGGTTTGGCACTGGTATCGGATAAAACTTAAACGATACCCATCCCTAGTGATGAGCCTCTAAACATTAAACATAAATAAGTGAAAGTATGACAACCGTGAGTGAAAACCTCTCCAATGAAATATAACGTTGGACGTTTACTGACTTGTGTCGGGTTAGCGGATAACCCTTTTGTCACTTCTTGATCTAAACAGCCAGCACGATGGAGACCAAAAACCCTAGAGGCTTCCAAATGCTAAGTTCAGAGAGCAGTGGGGATGTAAAGGTGGAGACAGACAGCTTTTTGAAACAGTCAATGATATACTGTAACGTTGACTTCCTTTTGGACCATTGTAGGAACTACAGTCTTTGGTGGGGAAGTATCCTCCTTCTCTTTCCTGATACAGCCGCTCAGAGTTTGTTTTTTGTTAATACTTTGCACATTTTTTTCATTAGATGGGCAGAAAAAAAGATTTGCATCTTGTGTCTGTTGTCAACACTCTTCAAGGACCAAGAAAAAGATAACCGTAAGTGATCTTTCAGGAAGATGCCAAACATCACGGTCAAACAGATAAGATGGCTGTTGAGGAACAAATGCAAACCATGTTTATTGTTTTGACGTTTGGCGCATTGTCCACACACAACAGCTCCGCCCTACTGCAGGTACACAACAATGATTTCAATCACAATGACAAAAAATGTGCGCATGAAACCACGGCAGGTGTAAACACCTGAGGATGCCCGACACACCTGAACACACACACACACAGTTATACAATCTCTGTAACTTTCCACAACTTTTTATAACTCTCAGTCTCGTAACAGTCAGAATCCCAGAGAAACGAATCCAGATGGAGTCGCCTGATGCTGGAAGGGTAAATTTTCAGATGAAAACCAACGGGAAAGTCATTTTCTACACTCACTGAGATTTTTGATATTGGTTGCTAAGCGTTATGTTGGGGTCATCTGGGCAAACTTTGAAGATACCCGACTTCTTCCACATTTTTAGGTGCAGTCAGCAATTTTTCCTGGTTCACTGTTACTGTTACATTTTGACCATGTGACCATTAAAAATGTCTGTTAGACTTTGAATTAATGAAACTCCGAATGACTTTTTTTTTTTTTTTTTTTTTTTTTAAACACCAGTGTTTTTCGTTTGGCTCTTTGGGACATTCATGTATGCAGGAAAGAGTTGGGTAGTTGCAACTTTTTTGTGGTAATGCACCTGAGTACTAGTACAGATGTGGATTATCACAGCATAGTTGAACCATAAATATACTTGATGATACTTTTTTTTTTTTAAACATTGTATTTTTGCTAATTATTTGCTTTTAAACAACTAAATATGATTCTATAAAATTATTTTATATGAATATACACTATAAATTAGCTTTTTAATTATTAGTTTTTTATATCTTCGAATAGTTTTTTTTCTTCATATTTTATCTGAATTTTAAAACACTGTAATATGTTTTAACATTTTCTTATTTTCTGAAACACAGAACCCCGTGGCTCAGGGGGTTGGGAAGCGTATCTGTAACCGGAAGGTCGCCGGTTCGATCCCCGGGCTCTCTGTCCTGGTCGTTGTGTCCTTGGGCAAGACACTTCACCTACCGCCTACTGGTGTTGGCCAGAGGGGCCGATGGCGCGATATGGCAGCCTCGCTTCTGTCAGTCTGCCCCAGGGCAGCTGTGGCTACAACTGTAGCTGCCTCCACCAGTGTGTGAATGAATAGTGGCATTGTAAAGCGCTTTGGGTGCCTTGAAAAGCGCTATATAAATCCAATCCATTATTATTAAGACAAACTGACTAAAATTAATAAATATATCACTTAGTCAGCCAATCTCTGTATTTGTAGCTCAGGTTCCCGTCAGTGCTGCAGGTAACTCCAGATTCAGGCAATGAAGACACAGACTGTGAAAACTAATCAGGACTCAAGTTTGGAGTTTACCAGACAAACTGGAACAAACTGGAACACACGACGGGTGTCCAGTATGAACTCAAGACTGCACACACACACACACACACACACACACAGACAGATGTAGAAACTATGGAGATTCCACCTCACATACTCCCATGTTTACACAAACTGTCTGGACACAAACACTCAGACATTGCTCTTACAGTAACACAAGGTCAAAGGTCACTCTGACACAAGTCCCTCTCTCTCTCTAACACACACTGCATGACTCATCGGCAGCAGGAGGTCGTCAGAGTTTCCTTGTGCCCCTCAGTGAGGTTTCTTCGTGAAGACACTTCCTCTGGAAAGAGGTGACCTCTGACCTCTTTCCAGTCTAGCTGCTGCGACAACCCAAACATCATCATTCATC